ATAGAAGTAATCAGAAGTATCAATGCGATTATTGGCGACATCCGTCACTAGAAAACATAATATATGCATTAAAATCCTGTTCATCCATAGTGCGAGTTTTGATCCTTGAAGAAATGATTGATGATGGATGGAAGACCGTCCGTAAGTACTAGCATTTTAACATCGAATAAACTGAAAAACTACAGACAACAAGTTTTTCTTCAAGGATCAAAAACTGTGTAGCTATCCATTACTGTTTGTTTTTGTTTTTTTTTTCATTTGCGTTTAAATGCTTCGTTTGACAGTTATGCTTTAACATTCATTAAAATGTGAATATTTATCCATTATGGAATCTTTTCTTTTATGTTGGAATGTCATGGTCGAGTGCGCATTAAAGCCTGAAAACTGTTTTTTATAGGCATTTTAGAACTTTATTACAGTATTCGTAGCTGATTCTATTTAATGTAGGCTTTAATTTTTTTATTTCGAAGAATATGAAAGGATTATAAAAAAAATAAGCAGACATGATGTTTGTAATTTATTCAATCAAACATACGTAAAAGAGAATTTGCTGGCTAAATACACACACACATATATACACACATATATACACACAGATATATATATATATATATATATATATATATATATATATATATATATATATATATATATATATATATAATTTTATTGCTATTCTGGACATAAATAAGGTAGAAATTGTCCGTATGTTCTCCATGTCCGAGCCCTTTATGCTATTTGTTTTAATCATTATCAAAGTAGATTTTATTTATAATTTTAACTGAATTAAATTAAAAATTAAAAAAAAGAACTTATCTTACCGAAACTTGTATGAAATAGGGATTTATGCCCAAATACAAAATTATATATATATGTATATATATATATATATATATAGATAGATAGATAGATAGATAGATATAGATTACAAAACGTATGTCAGCTTATTTTTATCATAATCCTCTAATATTCACGAATATTATGATAAAATAATTTCTTTTTTTAGGACTTGGTTAAAAGAGAATTTGCTTCCTGAATACATACACACACACACACACACACATATATATATATATATATATATATACATTCCTCACCGTTAGCACAAATCTGAGTTTCATGCACGATGGAATTGTCAAGTGAAGCTGTATATTGAGCACTCAATATGTGATACTTCATCTCTCTCTCTCTCTCTCTCTCTCTCTTTCTTTCTCTCTCTCTCTCTCTCTAGCTCCCTGGGGAGGAAGTCTGGTTTGTAAACAGTGACTAATACGTATAATAATGTATGACTCTTTGAGAAATCGAATCGAATTCTCTTAGTCACTGTGTGTTTATCTAAAACTAAATACGCTTAAATTCACCTTCATCCCTGCCGTGTGCCAAAGGCTTAGTGGTAGAATCCCCGACTGACGCCAATTTAGTCGGGTTTCGTTTCTACCTAGAGGGCTAGAGGCAACCGGACGTCTAGCCACACTGATGAGCTGTGATACAGCGAAATAGTCTGTCTGTGGATGAAAATATATATATATATATATATATATATATATATATATATATATATATATATATATATATATCACCACCCACAAGCGGCGATAATCTGTTTCATGCTTACACGCAAATTTCAGGCTCTTAATCTCGTAGCTGAGTTAATCATGTACGAGGGTCGTCTGAAAAGTTCATAGGCTGACACAAATTCTCTCATGGAATGAGAGAAAATAAGGTTTATTTGTCAAAATAGTCATACTTGGGCTCCACAAACATCTTCCATCGGTGTTGCACTGCTAAGATCTTATTGATTAAGAATATTTCATCCTGCTGGTCAAAGAAAGTCATCGACAGCACCTATGCCATCATCTCCACTGTGATACAGGTTCTCAGCCAAGTGCTTTTCTTTTTTTCAGATTAGGGAACAGATGATAGTCAGATAAAGGCCAAATCAGAATGTGATCAACCTTTTAAAGTCACAGTGACGCCCAGAAGTTGATACCCAGCACCTGAATCATTGTCCCGACGAATCATGTCCCCTTTTCGTCATTTTGACTGAGCATTTCGTTTTGATATTCATTCGTAACTGCCTCGGCATAGTACTCTGAATTGAAACGTCCAAGGAACCAGCTGGATGTGCTTCAAACAATGACAGACATTCCCATAATGTGAGCAAACTGGCGCGCTTTTCATCATGTATCAGAAGGCGGGACACCCATCGAACCGAAACCTTCACCATGCTAAATTCATTGTGCAGAATATTCTTAATTGTTTCTTCGTGTTGGGGAACAGATGATAGTCAGATAAGGCCAAATCAGAAAAATAGATAGGGTGATCAACTTTTTAAAGTCACAGTGAAGCCCAGAGGTCGTTGAAACCAAGCACCTGGAGTAACGCCCTGACGAAACATGAACTCTTTCGACAGTTTGCCTGGACATTTGGTCTTGAGCGTCATTCGTAACTGCCTCGGCAGGTTGACATGGTACTCTAAATTGATAGCATATCCCTTTTTGAAGATAACTAAATACAACGCTTTTTTTCATCCAAAACATTCGAGGCCATCGTCTTCTATGCAGATGAAACAAATTTGGCCTTCTTTAGATCAAGTGAGGAGGAGTGTTTCATCGATTGTCTCTGGCTCAAAGTAATGAAACCAACAATTATATATAGTTAGGAATCGTCCAAAGAAAACACCTGAATCTGACCCAAACAATGTCAGATTTTCCCATCATATCATCAGCCAGTTGCGTTTTACGTTAGGTGTCAGAAGGCGGGGTACCCACTGTGCCGAAACCTTCATCATTCTAAGTTCATTGTGCAGAATATTCTCAACTGTCTAATGGGATGTTAATAGCATTGGTTATTTGCTCTATAGACAATTGCTTGTCATCCTGTAACATGTAGTAAATATTATCAATGTTATCTTCGGTGGTGGCAGTTACCGGACCTCCAAAACTTGGGTCACCTTCAGAAGTTTCTCAACCTCACTTAAGTTCATCGGCCGACTTTTGAACCGTTATATAAAGCTGACGCCTCATCCCCCTAATGCAGCATGAATGGGATTGGAAGATAAACCCTTTTTCTTCAGAAACTTTATAAAAATACGATGCCAAATTTAGTGTCTGAAATGAAACAATACGGTTGTTAATGAAAAGAGTTTAAATGAATGGATGAAAGATTTCACAGTCCTGGCATTAGTCCTCCATTGTCAGTCTATGGACCTTTCTTTTGAACCTCACACCTGGACAGAAATAATACAATTATTAGTAAGAAGAGTTGAAGGTAATGAATGCACGGTGAATGTTTTCCTCTGACGTAGCAGTTGCAGGAATTCCTGACCATGAGTCATTTTCAATGTTCTCTCCTCCTCTCCTAGATTCAGCTGCTCACTTTTGCATTTTCGTTAAAACTGAAACGCCATTCCCTACAGTAGCAACGAAGTCAGCATGAAGATGATCGAGGTCTTAACCCTTTTTCTGCGAGTACATGACAACACCACGATGCCAAATTGAGACCATTTTCAAAAGAATCACTACAATTCATATTTGAAATATTCTTGAACAGGTACTTGTCAGTTTATCTGAAAAGGAACAATGCAGTTATTAACAAGAAGAGTTGACATTGATACATGCAAGAATTTCCATCACTGGCACCACTGCTTAATAGTAAGCCTATAAACTTTTCAGCCCAACTTCGTAGATAGATAGATAGATAGATAGATAAACAGACTGAGATTGATAGATAGAAAATGAACAAGTTGAGATAGATAGATATAAACAAACAAGTATAGATACATAATGAACAGGCTGAGATAGATAGATAGATAGATAGATAGATAGATAGATAATGAACCGAATGATAGATAAGGAACAGATAGATAGATAGATAGATAGATAGATAGATATGAACAGACAAGTATAGATAGATAGATAATGAACAGGCTGAGATAGATAGATAGATAGATAGATAGATAGATAGATAGATAGATAGATAGATAGATAGAATATTCATTGTAAAAGATAATTGAGAGAATATTAATAGCCATAGATAGATAGGGCTAAGGTGAAATGGTTCATGTACAAATTTCTGAGAGAATGCGATAGATAGATAGATAGATAGATAGATAGATAGATAGATAGATAGATAGATAGATAGATAGATAGATAATTGTTGGGGCACACCCACCTTCTAACTAGAAATGAACTGGTCCCTCTTATATAAGTCAACTCTAGAGAGAGGACGGGGAGAGGTGAGCGAGAGCGTGAGCAGTCCAGATAAGCTTACCCGTTACATACCGTTGGACTATAGACTTTGGATATTGTTTCGTACTAACCAACCTTCGTTCTACTAATCACTCTATTGTTAATTGCTTTTATGAATATACCAGTATTTTCCTCTACAACTGTGTTTGTCTTGATTCATACACCGACACGCGGGAAACTCACAACATCTCAACAATAATACATTGCCATAGATAGATAGATAGATAGATAGATAGATAGATAGATAATGCATTGAGATAGATAGATAGATAGATAGATAGATAGATAGATAGATAGATAGATTATTCATTGTAAAAGATAATTGAGAGAATATTAATACAGTCATAGGTACATAGATAGGGCTGAGGTGAAATGGTTCATGTACAAATTTCTGAGAGAATGAGATAGATAGATAGATAGATAGATAGATAGATAGATAGATAGATAGATATGAACAGCCTGAGATAGATAGATAGAGAGTCATATGTCCCGGAAAGGGATATATTTGAACGAAGTAACTAAGTGATGTTGGCTACTATAACCAAGTAGAATATGGTAGCATTTATTGACTGGTACGCGTCCTAGTCGCAGGTAAGAAGTGTAGATCAATGGCGGAGTCCAATGGGCGTCGTTATAGACATGACTCTGACTTCTCTGGACTCTCCTTCGCCTACACGCCCGTCGGTATTTATGACGGACACCAGCCAATCATATTCCATTGAGGGGGAACACGGGTGTACGCATATTCCATTATATCAGATAGATAGATAGATAGATAGATAGATAGAATGAACACAATGAGATAGAGAAATGTGAACACACTGATAAATAGATAATGAAACCAATGAGATAGATAGATAGATATTTTTTCCTGGTATGAGGTTCAGCCTATGAACTTTTCGGCTGAACCTCATATCAGGACAGAAACAATAGTTTTATTAATAAGAAGACTTGTAATTAATGCATGCAAGATTTCACAACTCTAGCATCACTTCTTCATAGTTGGCCTATGAACTTTTTTAGCCCACCCTCTTATATGGAAACAAAACAATGCAATAAAAGATTCGAAATCAATGCATACGAGATTTCACAATTCAAGTGTCACTTCTTCATAGTCAGCCTATGAACTTTTCAGCCCACACTCTTAACGGGAAAGAAACAATACAGTTATTAATAAGAGTAGTTGGAATTAATGCATGCAACGTTTCCCGCCTTTAGTATCACTCCTTCATAGTCAGCTTTTGAACGTTTCATCCCACCTTTGTATTTAGGCTTAATGTTAATCGCGTTGTCTTCGTGGATGAAATCATGGTGTGACTTCCAGCGTTCCTGAAGAAGCCTTCTTCATGTCTGAAACTATGGTGGGCCTCAATGCAACGGCCGATCTCTTCTACGACTTTCCGTTAAACTTTACCTACTGCCTCACTACAGGATCAGTGAATATTTTCTACATTGCCAACCGCAGGGATTGAACCCAGAAAATTGTATAGCGGTGTTCTTGTTAAGATAAAATAAACGAGATTCATCAGCATCCAAATTTCATTTTTGTTTTGCCGTTATATTTGCTTTTTGTGTCATGCATATATATATATATATATATATATATATATATATATATATATATATATATATATATATATATATATATATATCTGTTGTATCTGCGATTACAAAGTCTCTACTACAACGAGAATTACGAAAGTGACAACAAGTATTCGTTGAGATTACAAAAGTGGCAACGAGGGTTCGTTCACATCACAAAAATGCACTGGCCAATGATTTTTACTATGAAAATGCATTGGAAATGATTTTTACTATGAAAATGCATTGGATATGATTTTTACTATGAAAATGCATTGGAAATGATTTTTACTATGAAAATGCATTGGAAATGATTTTTACTATGAAAATGCATTGGATATGATTTTTACTATGAAAATGCATTGGAAATGATTTTTACTATGAAAATGCACTGGCCAATGATTTTTACTATGAAAATGCATTGGATATGATTTTTACTATGAAAATGCATTGGCAACGATTTTTACTATGAAAATGCATTGGAAATGATTTTTACTATGAAAATGCATTGGAAATGATTTTTACTATAAAAAATGCATTGGAAATTATTTTTACTATGAAAATGCATTGGAAAGGATTTTTACTATGAAAATGCATTGGAAAGGATTTTTACTATGAAAATGCATTGGAAATGATTTTTATTATGAAAATGCATTGGAAATGATAGTTAATATGAAAATGCATTGGAAATGATTTTTACTATGAAAATGCATTGGTCAATTATTTTTACTATGAAAATGCATTGGAAATGATTTTTGCTATGAAAATGCATTGGAAATGATATTTACTATGAAAATGCATTGGAAATGATTGTTAATATGAAAATGCATTGGAAATGATTTTTACTCCGAAAATGCATTGGAAATGATATTTACTATGAAAATGCATTGGAAATGATTTTTACTATGAAAATGCATTGGAAATGATTTTTACTATGAAAATGCATTGGAAATGATTTTTACTATGAAAATGCATTGGAAATGTATTTTACTATAAAAATGCATTGGCCAATGATTTTTACTATGGAAATGCATTGGAAATGATTTTTACTATGGAAATGCATTGGCAAATAATTTTATTATGAAAATACATTGAAAATGATTTCTACTATTAAAATGCATTGGCCAATGATTTTTACTATGAAGATGCATCACAAAAAATGACAACGAGTACTCGCTGACATCACAAAAGTGGCAGCGAGTGTTCATTGCGTCATAAAAACTTTATCTTTGGAAGTAAACACGTTCGATGATGAATCTTTAAATCATGGAAAAGGAACAAAAAATACGCAACTGCGCCACTGCTTTCTTAACCGCTGGTACATCTGACTAATGCCACTGAATGAATTGGACTCTACATTGTAGTAAGGGCGAAAACAATAAAACAAATCACGTCTAATTTTCTGCGTAATGTTCGAAACGTTATTATTGTATTCAGAATTAGACTATCTTCATTAACATAAAAGAGGCCGTAGAACGCGTCGATCGAAATGTTGTGGTAAAGAAAAAAAAACAACATAACGGATGAGCTTCAATTACCCAAAAAATGTTATCGGCGGTAAAGACTATTCTCAAAATTCGTCGATATGCTTTTATCAACATTAAGAAGACTGTAGAATTGATCGGCCGTTAGATTCCGGGAAGGACAAAATACAACACACCGTATAAATTTGAGTTTTCTGAAAAATGCATGTAATGCAAAAGTGTCTTCTAAAAAAAATAATAGACGAGATATATTTAACAAAATGAAGAAGTCAGTAGAATTTGATCGGCTGAATCGTTATGGTCCACCATAACGCATCTGTTGTCCAAAATGTTTTTATAATTTTTCGATTGAATCGTTATGTTTCATCTTAACGCATCTGTTGTCCGAATAATATTTAGAATGCTAAGTACGCTTCTCAAAATTAAATGAGATATATTTATCAAAAGGGAAAATGCCGTAGAGGTGAATCGGTTGAAACGATTTTGTAAGGCAAAAAAAACATCAGAAAGGATTATTTCTATATTTCTAAAATGAGATATTGTAACTATATGAACTAAATACATTATTCGGACTGTTGTCCTCATCTTATTGTCCCATTCTGAAGTTTGGGACGTTATACGCTACGGCTTTTTTCATGATCTGTCGATATTTCTGAAATGACGTATTGTAATTATTTAAACTATTTACATTGTTCGGACTGCTGTCCTCATCTTCGTTCGCATATTCACGTCGTTTCGGCAGTTGTACGCTACGGCCTTCTTCAGGATCTGTCTATATTTCTGAGATGAGGTATTGTAATTATTTACACTGTTTACATTGTTCGGACTGTTGTCCTCATCTTTATTGCCGCATTCACGAAGTTTCGGTCATTTTACGCTCCGGCCTTCTTCAGGATCTGTCTATATTTCTGAAATGAGGTATTGTAATTATTTAAACTATTTACATTGTTCGGAATGTTGTCCTTGTCTTTATTGCCACATTCACGAAGTTTCAGGTTGTTTAACATTCCGGTCTTCTTCAGGATCTGTCTATATTTCTGAAATGAGGTATTGTAATTATTTAAACTATTTACATCGTTCGAGCTGTTGTCTTCATCTTTATTGCCACATTCACGAAGTTTCGGTCGTTTTACGCTCCGGTCTTCTTCAGAATCTGTCTATATTTCTGAGATGAGGCATTGTAACTATTTATACTATTCACATTGTTCACCCAATGGATAAAATCTGAAGTAATCCAATGATCTGACCCAAAGAGTTGTAAGTTCAATACCTGTCCACAGCAGAGATGAAAAAAAAAACCATGGTGAGTTCAGTTACTTAAGGGAAATAACTGAAACTGGGATATCTAGAAGAGGCATTGCACGGGGAATGAGAATAATCTACCCCAGTGGACTAAATAAAGATTTCAGTTCGAAATTCCAATGTATATCACCTGAAGAAGGCCAGAACGTACAACGGCCGAAACCTCGTGAATATTGCAATAAAGATGAGGGCAACATTCTGAACAATGTAAATAGAGTAAATTGATATGAATATGTTACATTTTCTGAGCAATGGCTTTACTGCTACACGTTCTTCCGAAACTAAGACGAGATATCTTAATTAATATGACGACGGCTTTAGAACTGGATCGGCCTAAATGATGGTTTTTTGTAGGGAGAAAACAAAACAAAAGACGAAGTTCAATTTTCCAAACAATACTTACATTTCTAGGGACTCTTCTCAAAAAATAGAAAATCTTTAAAAAAAGGAATAAGGCCGTAAAATGAATCTAACCAAATATTTTCGCATAACCGATGACATTCATTTATCTGAACAATATTTGAAATATTAAGGAGTCTTCTCAAAATAAAACTAGGTGTATTTATCAAATGTATCTATGATTTAATTTTACTACCAGTTCACACGATACAATACTGTTGTGGATTCCGAGATGAATTCGGTCTCGAAGGAATGACAAACGCAATAATTAAATATAAGAAATAATATGTATTTACACAATCATACAAAGAGTAATACTGTTAGTAAGTCCAGGAACGCGGTTAGTTGCAAATACAGATAGATATATACAGTCTCGAAGTAGGACTTCCTTAGAGTCTACGTGCTTGTAACTGACTTCTACAAGAGGTTACCTACCTCTCTCTCTCTCTCTCTCTCTCTCTCTCTCTCTCTCTGTATGTCCCCCCTCACTGACTGTGTCACTCTGTGTATTTAACGGCAGCACTCCAAGTAACACCGGTAGAGTCCACTTAGATGAAAAGGGGAGGACCCCATAACAAATACACATGAGCCAATCAAGGTAGAGTCGAACTTAAAAATGCAATATAATTGTATACGTAAGATACATATCTGGTAAACCTGGGCATAAAATGCTTAACACTGGGGTAATCAAGTCTGTTCCACGTAGGAGGGGCTCTTGAGAAGAAGCTGTCAGAATAAGATGTCGTTTTTACTGGAGGAATACGAAGGGAAATGGGGATAATTCGTTTTGGTGTTGCCTGTGAAGGTCTGAACTGGCCGAAGTATGGAATGTATCGCGTCAAAAGATTGGCGATGAAAAGAAGGGCCGAGTAGCGAGAGGCTTGTGCCGTTTCCTCACTGGGATAAGGACTGAGAAAAAACACTACTACCACTCCCAAGAATACACGAATGAATGTCACCAACGTTTTAAATTTGTTAAAATGAGGAAGGCTTTAAAATGGATCGGCCAGTTAGGGAGAGAATATTACTAATATATTTTTAAATAAATTCGCTTTTTTTATTGCCAGTGTATTATTTCTGGAAAATCTGTAAAACGTTTTGGTAATTCTAAAACCAATCTTAGAGAAGGTCAGATATTACCAAACGTCCCTACGAAGCAGGATGCGGCAAAATAAATTTTGGGTGGTGCAAATTCGAGCCCGTGGGCTCCGGCAAAAATTCCCCGTAGAACCCGTATACACGATGTCGGATATGTCAACCTCCCCAGAACGGACTGTACCCTTCGGCATAGCCTCATTTGGGTTCCTCTCTTCCCGAAAGTAGAGATTTAGACAAGATCCAAGAGCTTCGCGAGCGGTGAGCTCTCAAGTCTTAGAGCAGGTTTAATTTGAATTCAAAAACATGGAAAATATTAAATAAATTTTAAGGGAAAAAGCACTACTACCATTCCCATGAATGAATGTCACGAACGTTTTAAATTTGTTAAAATGAGGAAGGTTTTAAAACGGATCGGCCAGTTGGGGAGAGAATATTACTAATATATTTTAAAATAAATTCGCTTTTTCATTGCCAGTTTCTTATTTCTAGAAAATCTGTGAAACGTTCTGTGAATTCTAAAATCATTTTCGTTAAAAAAAAAAAAAAAGAAACTCTTGAAAATGTTAGCATTTTAATTCTATTCACTCGACCGTTTAATCCGCTGAATATTTGATGAGCTGTACCCAAATCCCATACTGAGCCGATTAGTTATTATTTCCGGCTTAAAAAAAAAAACAAGTTTCTTTATTTTTGTCCTCTCTTTAAAAAATGAATCAAATAAATCCCTGTACTCGATGTCGAGAAAGCGAACGCGTTGATGCTGAAAACTGAACAATCAACAGCACTTTGTTGAAATCCACCCCGCCGCCATTACTTTGTACGTAAAGAGCTTAAAAGATGGACACGTTTGGCATCAGTTAAATCCTTTAAGTAACGTCCTCTTCACACGACAAAGAAACAAAAGACCGAAAAGGATTCAAGAAAAAAAAAACAAGTAAAAATAATTTAAGTCGGCAAGAGAAGGAACGACTCTCTCTAACCAATAAAGCATAATCACGCGACTAGACGTTAAGGTTTCGTTCTAAGAGACGAGTTTCAACCAAATCTTTTGTTACAGTTATTATGAAAATGTTTTTTTATTGCATATAATCACAAGATTGTTTATTAAATTATCGTCTTTTTATACTACTATTGCTCCACAACATAAGACTCAACATTACCTCAAAGTAGAGTGTTAGTGAATCATGGTATTTTAACCCAGCGTTAGTCACCTCGGATATCCGAAAATGGATAATCACTTGGGGTATTCACACACCCCAATACAAAAAAATCCTTATAGTGTAACAATTATGTAAAATATTGTCAAACTGCTGAAAGAAATGACATAACAAGGAATCCCCGTTGAATTAAAAATCAAAACTTGAACTGAAGATATAATCATTCATTTTAATGAAAATTATAATAAATATATTGCTTATATATATTTATATGTCGTAAATTGTAGGTAAAACACGTCAATACATAATGGTAATGGATAGCTGCTTAGATTGAGAGCCTAGTTCGAATTCCAGTCGAATCGATTACATTCGCGTACGTACTAATAGCATCTATCATCTTCTCCTTCCAACTATGAGTAAATAGCAGGGCAGACTGGGTTCTATAGACATGGATGGCAACTGGTCTACTGCAGAAAAATATAATTATTCATTGAAATTAAAATTATACTAAATTCGTTGGCTAAACATGTGTCTTAAATTGGGGGTGAAAAATCAATACAAGAATAAGAAAAAGTTTTATTCATCAAAAATAGCCACAATATGTTTCAGTGAATAGAAAGCTATTGTATTAGCTAAACTCATACTTACAGGACTGAAAAAACAATATATATATATATATATATATATATATATATATATATATTAGTGTGTATGTATATATATATATTCGACTCTCTCTTCCGTCGAATTCGACGTATGAGGGTTAAGCAGATCAGTTTCTAGGAAACCGACAGCCCCACAACAGCACATGAGATTTGGTTATAGTGGTGAAGGTTTCGTGCAGGATCATTCACACTTTTTGAAGGGCCGAATACAGAGACCTACGTGCCCCAAACGACCCTCCGCAGGTTTTGAATTCAGAGTTGTACTTATCCTAGGCCAGTTGCCATCCAAGGCTATAGAACCCAGTCTGCCCTGCTCTTTACCCATAACTGGAGGCAGTAGAAGAGAATTCATACCTTTCCCAAGGGTATTAGCACTTAAGTGAATGTAATGATTCGACTGAATTCGAACTCGACTCTCCGATTCCTCAATTCAAGCCGCTATCCATTACTTCCACCGTGCCTCTTCTATTGCATAAGCTAAACTCATAATTATAGGACTATATATATATATATATATATATATATATATATATATATATATATATATATATATATATATATATATATATATATATATATATATATATATATATATATATATATATATATATATATATATATATATAAATATATAAAAAGATTTTTGTAGGTACAAAATTTAATGATCGAAATAAAATTAATATTATATTACAAGACATATTAAAAACAATATTAAATAAAAAAACTCAACAACTGGGGGAAGCAACCGGTTTTCGCTCCTGCTCATCAGGCTTCCATATATATATATATATATATAAAAAAGAAAGAACAGCAAGATATATAATTAGCTTCCATTTCTGAAACATGGTTAGAACTGTGTAAAAAAAAAAATAGTTTAAATCAATTAATTTATAATACATATATATATATATATATATATATATATATATATATATATATATATATATATATATATATATATATATATATATATATAATAAAATGGAGCTTTAAGGTATGCTATATTTATGGGTTAAAGTGTTCAATATCAGGGATAGAGTGTATGGAAATATAAACGTAGACATGGATGTCAACACCAAAAGGCCACAGTCGGTTTCATGTTTAAACGCGACCGTCAGGTCATAATATTTATATATATATATATATAAATACAAAAATGGTAGCAGTAGGCAATTTTTTTTGGCTGGAAACTAAACTGAGTTGTAATGAGACTTAAATGTGCTTGCATTTATTTAAAAAGAATTATACTTTACCTATTGTCTATGTTGACAAACTGAGTAAATCTTTGGTTGGACTCATTTACATTAGTTTTCCTTTGTAGTTTTGTATTTTTATGCACTAGTATTAGATAGTAAAAATCCTTTACGATGCATTTTCATAGTAAAAATCATTTCAAATACATTTTCATAGCAAAAATTATTGGCCAATGCATTTTCAATAGTAAAATTCATTTCCAATGCATTTTCATAGTAAGAATCATTTTCCAATGCATTTTCATCGTAAAATTCATTTGCAATGCATTTTCATAGTAAAAATCTTTTGCAATGCAGTATCATAGTAAAAATCGATGTCCAATCCATTTTCATATTAAAAATCATTAGCCAATTCATTTTCATCGTAAAATCATTTTCAATGGATATTCACAGTAAAAACCATTCGCCAATGCATTTTCATAGTAAAAATTATTTCCAATGCATTTTCATAGTAAAATTCATTGGTCAATGCATTTTCATAGTAAAAATCATTTTCAGTGCATTTTCTTAGTAAAAATCATTGGCCAATGCATATTCATGATAAAATCATTTCCAATGCATTTGCATAGTAAAAATCATTTCCAATGCATTTTTATAATAAAAATCATTTGCAATGCAGTTTCATAGTAAAAATCATTCGCAATGCATTTTCATAGTAAAATCATTTTCAATGAATTTTCATAGTAAAAGACATTTGCAATGCATTTTCATAGCGAAAATCATTCCCAATGCTTTTGCATGATAAAAATCATTGGCCAATCCATTTTCATCGTAAAATTCATTTCCAATGCATTTTCAGAGTAAAAATCATTTCCAATGCATTTTCAGAGTAAAATCATTTCCGGTGTAGTTTCATAGTAAAAATCGTTGGCTAATGCATTTTCATAGTAAATATCATTAATCATTGTCTTTTCATAGTAAAATGATTTCCAATGCTTTTTCCATTGTAATGTAATTTTCAATGCCTTTTTAATAGCAATAATGATTTCCAATGCATTTTCATTATAAAAATCGTTGGCCAATGCATTTTCATAGTAAAATCATTTGCAATGCATTTTTCGAGGGAAATGCATTTCTATTGTAAAATAATTTCCGAACCATTTTTATAAGCAAAGATTTTCCCCTGTATTTTTATGGGGGAAACATTTCAAAATCATTTTATAGTAAAATTATATGCAATGTGTTTCATATTAAAGTCATTTTAACGCATTTTCATAGTAAAATCATTTGAAACATATTTCGTCATGAATTTGTTTCTAACACTCTTTTATATAAATGTTATTTAAAAGGTGTGAAGATAAAACACATAGAGAATAGGTTATGAAAAGAAAGAAAGAAAGAAAGAAAGAAAGAAAGAAAGAAAGAAAGAAAAATACTTTTGAAAGTCTAGGAAAAAAGAAAGAAATTTTCAAAGTCAACGGAAAGAAAGAAAGAAAAGAAAGAAAAGAAAGAAAGAAAGAAAGAAAGAAAGAAAGAAAGAAAGAAAGAAAGAAAGAAAAATATATTTTTGAAAGCCTAGGCAAACAAAGAAAGAAATTTTCAAAGTCAACGGAAAGAAAGAAAGAAAGAAAGAAAGAAAGAAAGAAAGAAAGAAAGAAAGAAAGAAAGAAAGAAAGAAAAAAAAAAAGAAAAATATATTTTTGAAAGCCTAGGCAAACAAAGAAAGAAATTTTTAAAGTCAAAAGAAAGAAAGAAAGAAAATACTTTTGAAAGTCTAGGGAAAAAAGAAAGAAATTTTCAAAATCAACGGAAAGAAAGAAAGAAAGAAAGAAAGAAAGAAAGAAAGAAAGAAAGAAAGAAAGAAAGAAAAATATATTTTTGAAAGCCTAGGCAAACAAAGAAAGAAATTTTCAAAATCAACGGAAAGAAAGAAAGAAAGAAAGAAAGAAAGAAAGAAAGAAAGAAAGAAAGAAAGAAAGAAAGAAAGAAAAATATATTTTTGAAAGCCTAGTCAAACAAAGAAAGAAATTTTCAAAGTCAACGGAAAGAAAGAAAGAAAGAAAGAAAGAAAGAAAGAAAAATATATTTTTGAAAGCCTAGGCAAACAAAGAAAGAAATTTTCAAAGTCAACGGAAAGAAAGAAAGAAAGAAAGAAAGAAAGAATATATTTTTGAAAGCCTAGGCAAACAAAGAAAGAAATTTTCAAATTCAACAGAAAGAAAGAAAGAAAAAAGAAAGAAAGAAATATAATTTTGAAATTCAAGGTTAAGTAAGAAAGAAATTTTCGATCAAAGGAAAGAAAGAAAGAAACAAAAAGAAAGAAAAAAATCTAAATGTAAGAATTAAATATATAAGATATGAAAGAAGCAAAGGAATTGGTAATAAAAATAACAAAAACAAAGAATATGAGAAGGAAATTGAAAGGATGAGCGAAAAAAAGAAAAAAATGAATGCTAATTATCATGAATCAAGTTTCAATTGTTAGAGGAAGAAGATAGAAATTTTCAGAAAATACGTCGTCCAAGGTAAAAAAAGGAAAAAAAGAGGGAATACTAATGAAGCTGGGCATTCAAAAAAGAATACAGGATGAACAAAAATGAATAAACGAACACTAACGATAGAATACACGAATGCCATACAAGAAAGGGGAGATAATTAAAGAAAGAAAAATGCAACGAAGTATTTTCACGATGGAAAAACAAAAATTTTGAATGGTAAATATTGCTCGAATGGAACAAAGGAACGGAAAATGATGACGAAAAAGTTTCAAGAATAAGCACAAAAGAAAATGGCGATAAAAAAGAATACGTTTAATGTGGAAATAAGAAAGAGTAAAAGTATAATATTCATGTAATTACCCTATTCTATCAATAATTTTTGCGTGAATTCCTGACCATTGAAAATCCCTTTCTTCCTCATTTGCAATGCATTCCTATAGTAAAATCATTAGCAATGCATTTACATTATACATATAATAGCCCTATTCTATCAGTAATGCTTGCATTCATTTCTGACCACTGACAATCCCTTGCTTCCTCATTTGCAATGCATTCCTATAGTAAAATCATGAGTAATGCATTTACATTATACATATAATAGCCCTATTCTATCAGTAATGCTTTCATTCATTCCTGACCACTGACAATCCCATTCTTTCTCATTTGCAATGCATTCCTATAGTACAATCATGAGCAATGCATTTACATTATACATATAATAGCCCTATTCTATCAGTAATGCTTGCATTCATTCCTGACCACTGACAATCCCTTTCTTCCTCATTTGCAATGCATTCCTATAGTAAAATCATTAGCAATGCATTTACATTATACATATAATAGCCCTATTCTATCAGTAATGCTTGCATTCATTCCTGACCACTGACAATCCCTTTCTTCCTCATTTGTAATGCATTCCTATAGTAAAATCATTAGCAATGCATTTACATTATACATATAATAGCCCTATTCTATCAGTAAAACTTGCCTTCATTCCTGACCACTGACAATCCCTTTCTTCCTCATTTGCAATGCATTCCTATAGTAAAATCATTAGCAATGCATTTACATTATACATATAATAGCCCTATTCTATCAGTAATGCTTGCATTCATTCCTGACCACTGACAATCCATTTCTTCCTCATTTGCAATGCATTCCTATAGTAAAATCATTAGCAATGCATTTACATTATACATATAATAGCCCTATTCTATCAGTAATGCTTGCATTAATTCATGACCACTTTATTTTCTGCTTTCAATGCTTTCAATTTAAAAAATAATACATTTACAAATATACAAATATAATAGCGTTGTTCTACCAGTAAGTATTGCTCTAGTTTCTGGCGAATATAATCCCTTTTTGTCTATTCTTGAACCAATTTACTAATTAAAATTAATTGCTGTACAGTTCTGTAATAAAAAAATTCTTAGCAAATTCTTTAGTAAAATAATTCGCATTCTTTGTCTCAAAATAATTTGCACAGCAATTCTTCAGTAAAAACATTCTTAATAAATTCCTAGTTTGAAATCGAGAATATACTTTTATATCAGTCAACTTTATGCATAGAATGGCCGCAATGAGTTACTCTCTGATGGAAGGTAAAAAAAATTCTCTAAAACGATTGAATATGTTCCGGAGAAAATTACCAGAGAATTCCTATTGTAAAATATTTGGTTTGTGAAAAAGTTCTTCAATTTTTTTCTATTGTGAAAATTTACTGTGCTACTTTCACTCGTACCCCAACTTCATGAATTTAAGCGCACTACTTGGTTGGAATTTCGGTCCCACCCTTTCACTGACGAAACGGTTAAATGTAACCGCCTCTTCTACTCCAACAACTTCATGCCTCGCCTTTCCCGTCTGTGAAACTCTCTTTCTCTTTTTTGCTTCCCTGATGGCTATAACCTCCAAAAATTCAAATGTAATGTCAATCGACATATTTTGATGTCTTGATCTTGATCCCCGTCCTTTTCTTTATCCCCTCCTCAAGCACTCTTCTTTACTCTTACTTTCACGCTCTGTAACCCTTTGCGTGCTAGTGGCACACCCGTATTGCTTGGGGTGATATGCTTAAAAAAAAAAAAGGAAAAGAAAATCCATTTGAAATTAAATTCCTAGTTATTATCATTTTTTTAAATTGTAAAAACATTCTAGTTACGTCGAAACAGTTAAATGTAGCCGCCTCTTCTAATCCAACAGCTTCTTCTCTCGCCCTTCCCGACAGCGGAACTCCCTTCCTCTTACTTGCTTCCCTGATAGCTATGATCTTCAAATATTCAAATGTAATGTCAATCGACATCTTCTGAGGCCTTGATGTTGTTTTCCGTCCTTTTCTTTATCCCCTCCTCAAACACCCCCTCTTAATTATTGCTTTCATTATCTGTAACCCGTTGCGTGCCTGTGTCACCCCCTTTGGGTGATATGCTTAAAAAAAAAGAGTAAAACGAAATAATTTTTTCGCTAAACCCAGTACTTGGGGATCAATATAGAAAATCAATTACGATATTTGCTATATAACTATTTTGAAAAGAATATAATAATTAGTAGTAAATTTTTGTATTAAAATAATTTGCAATGCGCACTTATATTAAAATAATCGGTTTGCATTAAAAAAAAAATCCCGAATATTTACATTTAGGTGTAAATGTACATGCTTCATTCGAAAATAATTTTGATAAAATCTACCGTTTCGGAGTTATCGACACTAAAAGTTCGGATTCATTCACGTCGTTGGCGGCAGCCATTACGGGCATTGTTTGCATACATTTCCTGTAGAAAGCTAAGCGCGGAAGAACGTAGTTAACGACATTTTTTACTGATCTTTCTCGTCCCACCTTGTCTCATTTACTGCGCAAGAAAACTATATTGCGTCCGCAATAATCAAGACAAGTGAATAGTTCACTCATAGCTGGTCCTCAGCAAATGTATGCAAACCATGCTAGTAATGGCTGTCGCGACGCGATTGAATCCAAACTTTTAATGTCTATAACTCCAAAACAGTAGATATTAAAAAAATTTATCAAGTTATTTTCGAATGAATCATGTACATTAACACCTAAATGTAAGTATTCGCTAAATTTTGAATCTAACTGATCGTGGATCCTAATCTGCAAATTAACCAAGAAATCTGTGTTGAGATAAATAAATTATGCAGATTTAATATATATATATATATATATATATATATATATATATATACACACGTTGCATTAAATAATATAGACAAGTGTTTAAATGAAAATATGCTGCCTAAATAACACCCTAGCGCTTAGCTTTGGAGCGGGTAGAATGGAGATCAACGTGCTTTAGTGGACTCGGCAATTTTCAATCTGCTTGTCTGAATCATCTTCAAGAAGCGAGAGCAAGATCTAAAAGGTCGCCCAATCTAACAGTGATCTCATTTCACAATCCTCACACTTGCTCCATATGTGGCCTCCTTTTTAAATCACTAGCGGGTCTTAAATGCCACTTAAGATTATCGCATAAACTTTCATAACTGAATCAATAAGCAGTCAGATCCTCATACGTCGAAACCGACGGAGAGTCCATTATATATATATATATATATATATATACACACACACACACACACATATATATATATATATATATATATATATATATATATATATATATGAAGGGTAAAAAGCAAGGACGTAAATGGGTGTAAAAAGAAATTAGAATGAATTTAGGAAAAGAATGAAGTAAAGAATAAAGAAAAAGAAAAAAAGAAAGAAGTACTAAGCTGAAAGGAAAGAAAAACTAAAGAAAAAGAAAGGTTGGATGTAAAAGCCTAACAGAATAAAAAATGAATGGAAGAAGACCCAAGACGCAGAAGGAAAGAAGGTAAAAAGATGAAGGAAAAGAAGGAAGAAAAAGAAAACATGGAGCTAAATTGATGAAAGAAATGAAAAAAGGGCAGAAGAAAAAGAATGAAATAAAGGGATAAAAATAAGAAAAACAAAGACAGAAAAAACGAAAGAAAAATGTTAAATCTAAAGAAAGAAAGAAAGAAAGAAAGAAAGAAAGAAAGAAAGAAAGAAAGAAAGAAAAGAGAACGAAGTGAAAGAAATGAAGAAGGAATACAGGATATAGAACAAAAGAAAGAAAGAAAGAAAGAAAGAAAGAAAGAAAGAAATTAATGCAAGGAAAAGGGGGACATAAAGCGGTGACAAAAATAAAAAAGGGAGAAAATGAAGGAAGGAACTATAGGGTGGGAAAGGAAAATAGAAAGAAAGGAAAAATTCATAGAAGATATTAGGGTGAAATGAAGAATATAAAAGGGAAGCAGAAAAAAGGATGGAAAGAATAAAGAAATAATTATAGAAAGAACAGAAAGAAAGAAGGAAGAAAGAAAGAAAGGAAGGAACTTACATGCTAAAAAAAGTGCAGGTTTAATATTAGGTTGGTGCAAAAAATAATGACGTAATAATGTCGTTTTTGACGTATTTTTTAACGTCAAAAACGACATTATTACGTCATTATTTTTGCACCAACCTAATATATCACGTTCATATATTACGTGCAGGTTTAATATATTAAATTAATTTACGAATTGTTTTATCGTAAACCATTATGGGTCGTATATGATGGCTGTCGAATTGCGAAGAGAGATCGGTTTAATGGGAGTGACGAAAAGGGAAAAGGCTTTTGTGGGTAATTAGGGAGGAATTGTGACCGAGAAAAAACAACAAAAACCCCCAGAAAGTAATGAAAACAACGAAAATTGTAAAACTGGTGCTGGAAATGTTAATTAAGATGAAAAACAAGAACTTACAAAAGAACGAAGAAAAGAGAATGAAAGAAAGATTGTTAACGAATGAAAAAAGGCCATTCAATGAAAGAATTCAAAGAAAATGAAATTAAAAAAAAATAGATTGGCGCTAAGAAAGAGAATATAACAATAGCAAGAACTTAGATTAAAGGCTTGAATTGAGTCTTAAACAGTCGCGTTATTATA